ACAGAAATAGGGTGTGAAATAAGCATAAATTATATTAAAAAGACAAGAATATTTGCTCTACCTATGACTTTATTGGAAATGCAGAGTTAACATAGGTAGATAATCACATTAGCAGTGAAGGTTGACAAAATAACCAGCTTACCTTCTTTGATGAGTAACTTATTCCTAACATCAACGTATGTTGGTGTGCAAGCACCATTGCTAGCATGTTGATTCTACCGCAAATAAAAAACTAACAATACTCATGAAGTCGAAAACCTGAAATCTCTTCGTGTGTACTACTCATAAGGGTTTTATTTGACAAATGTACACAGAAGTGCTGCATGCTAAATATAAAAAGCTCGTACATGTATGGGTGATCGGATGTTTCGATGGAAGCATAAAAAATGAAATTTGGTAGGTGCAAAACCAGTCTTTTATATTTAAACTAATAATTCATCAATGACCAACACATTCACGTTGGTGCCACTCCCCATGTGACGTGATCACAGCCGGTAAAAGCTTTGGGCGCACTTTGAATATTTTGCGGAATATTCTGCAGGAGATTTTTAAGTATATTCAAAGAAACACATCTCCATTCCCAAGTCACCCAAAAGTTTATCCTCAAAATCCCAAAATTTCCGTAGTCTGCAAAAATGTTACAAGACCACTAAAACTGTCAAAGTGTCGACTGTGCGCCAAACGTTTTCAAAAGAATGTAAACAACTCCTTTTGGTTATTTTATTGTGAAGCTTACGGACTGTGGAGGTTAGCCATGGCTGTACGGTTAACATGATATCATCTAATTATACCTTAGTTCGTATTAGAAGTACAGCTATGCTTAGCCTGCCACACTCGTTGCTTTCGTACTGTTCAAGTTTAATAATGTGAAGAATTTTATGAAAACCTAATTGGTCAATTCAAGTGAATTTGTTTAACTAGTCTGGATAAACTTGTGTGCAACAAAACTGATGCACAACTTGGAAAGCATTTGCAAATCTCAGGATTCATATAGGTATTTCTAACGCTTACGTGAAATTCCGTTGTCAAGTAGTCATAATCTTTCTGGCTATTTGCTGTACTGCATACCATTGGCTGGAATATTTGACGAAGTAAACGTCTATTCTGTGTCTTAGACATATACAGTAAGTGCTAATACACACATGAAACACTGGATTTCATACTGCCCAAGTTATCATACCAGTTGATTTCAAAACCAGACTGGCGAATTCTCAAGATAGATGTGAATTCCTACACCGAATACATGTATGTATTCTCAGCATTTATATGCACATTTTCAGCTTTCCAGGACTTTAATCATTAATTTCTAGTGCTAAACTACTCTGAATTCATTGTTTTGTCAAGTGGTACTCTTTCACAGGTTTTACTCATATTAATGAAATATATGGTCTTCATACCCAGACACTAGTCAACAAACTCACACGACTTTCACAGACAGAAGCCGGATTCATAAACCATCGTATATTCAATATTCGGTGTCTTGGAAATAAAATCACTCCAAATATCTACATCCACGTACCCTAATTCCAACAGACAAGGTGAAAGCAGCTATACAGTGCATCAACAAACTCTGTCCAAAAAAAGAAATTCAGTTGATAGTCGAGAAGTTGCATAGCATCCATAGTTATACTGAAGAACTAAAATGTAAACTTAAGCAAACAGTTAATGGGAAAGATTATGAGGTCCTGACCGACAACTTCAACAAAGCGAGATCAGCTGCCTTCGGATAATCTAGGAATACTCAAAGCAAGAAGTTGAACAAGTTATTGAAGGAAAAGTATCCAGTAGACAATGATGAAATTCCCCGTAGCACATTGCCAGTCAACGACAAAATAACGTGGGTTGTCAATCTCTCAACTAGGGTTTTAAGCTGAATAGAAGTAAAGGTACTGGAGAATTGACTTAACTACAATGTGGTAGTTAATGAACTGAAACCTGAAGATGTCATTCTGAATAAGATAAGGTTCGAGCATAATGTTCTTTAACACTGCAGCGACGAAAGAGAACGAAACAGAATGCGGAGAAAGCAGAAAAGGGGACTTTGAAGAACTTTTAGAATGACAATAATATAGTAATTGCTAAATCGGACAAAGGCAACTCAACACTAGTGTTAAACAAATCTGATTACGTTCAGAAAGTCAGGGAACGTGTAGAAACAGAACCATAGGAAGAGGTTAAGAAACCCATGTACACTAATATGAATAAGATTTAAAAGACCACAGTGGATATAATAAGTCGTTTCTAGGTGAGTCGAAACGATTTAATTTAATGTCGAAAACTAATAATCCCAGTAGGATTTATGGTGCTATTAATATTCCTAAGCCAGGTTATTCTGTTAGATCCATAGTAGACTTTAGAAACACTTCCAACTATGACTTATCTAAATATTTAGCAATGGTACTTGGTCCAAATAGAAACCTTTCTACCTCAACACTTACTAACTCGCATGATTTGAAGCATAGATTATATGACATACATTTAGATGACAATGAAAAAATGGTTAATTTTGATTTAGTAAGTTTTTATACTAACATACCTACTGGTGCGGCTCTGGAAGCAGTAAGATATGAGCTAGATAATGACCATGAGCTTATACTACTCACTAGGGTACCATTAGATGATATCACACTTGGAGTGCAGGTGTGCCTCACCTCTACATTAAGTTTCAGAATAGAATATACAAACAAACAGAAGTTACCATAGGACTACCAATATCCCCTATTCTGGTGGATATATTTATGGACAGCCGGGAACCGATGGGTGTGGAAATACTTAGTTCGGTTAAGAAAGTATAGTTTTCATATGTAGATGACACGTTTATGTTGTGGAAATCAGAGCACATACACAGTTCCCTTTAAAGTGTAGAGTGAATAGTCAACGCAGTCCAATTCACCTATAAATTAGAAAATAGTGAAGGAAAATTAGTGATGTTGAACTGTAGAATAAAACGAAAACCAGGTGGGAGTTTAGACACTAGTATCTACACAAAGCCTTCACAATCAAGTCACTACTCAGACTTCAAACCATCTACCATGAGCCAGTTCAAGTTGGCTTGGTAAAATGCCTAAGGAACAGAACCCAACAACTACTAGAGAGCCAGAAGATCCAAGGCAAGGAACCAGACACATTGAAAATACCTTACTCATCAACAATTATCCTCCTAAATTAATTGATGAGTTCCTTAGGAATCGTGAGAAAAATATGACCAATATTAGTAACATATGTGTTGATCGTAGTAATAATAATGCTAATAATAATAGTGGTGGTAGTGTGAAGAGAGGATTCAAAACCTCTACAGTATTATCCTACAAGGAACGCTCCTCACAGACATTACGTGGGATTCCTAATAGGGCCAGGATTAGAGTGGCATTTAAACCTACAAGCTCACTGAGAAATACGTTTTGTAGGTTCAGAGATCCTATTGATTCAACTAAGCGGAATAATTTATTTTACTGAATCCCATGCAATGATTGTGGTGTCAAATACATAGGTCAAAATATTCCATCAGAGTAAATTAGGCTATCCGAGCACAAAATTCTAGTTAGGTCTAAACTGGTAGATAGTAACTAGTAATATAGGGGAACTAGAAAAAAGCTCAGTTGTAAATATGCAGGAAATTACACAGAACAACACAATAGGATGGGATATGGTTTAAATGCTTATAACTAACACAGCAGAGTGGAGGGGGAGATTGATAACTGAATTTTTGTTGGTCGAAACAACATGCAAAAGGAATGACTCTGTACCTGTTCTGGATGTACGTAAATTCCTACTTCCCATATTACAAGGTAGGAGAGGAAAGTAGGACTTTATGAAGGATGTCTGGAAGTTGTGTTGTTGTCTTGATGTGGCTATGGCCAATTAATTATTTCAGAAATGTAATCCAGCGAATAATACTGTTGTACTGCATGGAAAATTTAATCAGTCATCTTGAATAGTATTGTATATTAGGGTTTTTACGTTCGCATATGCAGACTTTGCAAACAGCTAATTCCAGGAACTGCACAATAAGATAAACAATTTCAACATACTCAAAAAAAAGCGAAGTAAATCTCTGAAAATCCTGGTGTATATTTCGGTGACACCAAAAACTTGGACCAAGCCCTAAGGACTATTTGTGAGAGTTCGAAAACTATAGATTTTGTACGCTCGCACTATTAATACTGAATTGGATATGGCCTGTTTTTCAGTTGCGTGCAAGCATTTCATTTCTCTTGATTTATGTGTAAACTAAATGACTTCATTCTGTTCCAACCACACAGGTGATGCTATGTGTCGAAGAACCGGAAAACTCGTGGCAATTTCGAAAAGCTTTTCTTCATTTCATAGAAAAACAGAAGCCACCTCTACCGTGTCTTCTTCTGAATGAAAATTGTTTCAGGATCTATACAAGAGTATGGCACGAGTGTACATGCTAGGTAGGTAATGTTACTGTATAAAAATGGAACTTACTTGTGATTACTATCATTTGAATGTGCGTAATGAAAAGGATGCTTGCAGTCATGCTTGAATGTTTGTGTAAGCATGCTAAACTTACGGCGTACACAATGGGAAAATGATGTAAAAAAGAGGGAAATAGAGAGGACAAAAAAAGATAATGCAGACGATTAGAACGATGCTGACGCTTTGCTATTTCCTCATTTCCCTCTCATTCAACGTTACCTTTTTTTCTTCACTTCTCATTTATCTTCTCCAATTTCCGCACCGGCTGATCTGGAACTACATTTCCAAAGAATATTCCATTTCATGTTTATATTGGAGGAGAGGCTCGGTTTCACAGGGATAAAACTTAGCGCTTCAGGGTGCGTCTGAAAATATTTATCAGGGCTTTTGTTGAAAGTTTCCGAATTGGGACTAAATTAAATGGCTGTAGCCAGCTGGCTGGGAAGTCATAGACAGCAAACATGACTGGGGATATTAAAAGCGGCTGTCATCGACAATAAAAAGTAACACGCTTATTATCCAAAAAAGACTCTCACACTGCAAGAAATCAAACGTACTCTGCGGTAGTTAAGTAGTATTAACAACTTCAAATATTGTAACGTTTCGTATTCATAGCTTTGGCCTTGAGTGCCTGATTTAAACAAATATGTACCATACTTTGTACTTCACTAAATTACTCTTTCGTCTGGTGAAAAATAGTAATAGATGGACAGTCAATGACACCAAATATCAAATATCTTTTGCGAGTCAGTGTCAACCAGTTGATTTCTTCATACTCACTTCTAGGTCTTGCGAAACGGTTCCAGGTCTTTTGCGGACTCCGATGCAGTAGGTCTGCCCACTCGACTACTGTCGCTCCAGTTTCCCATCGGGCGGTTGGGTGTTAGTTAAAATTGTTAGGAGTGTATGTTGTCTTTTTCCAAGAACTGTGCTACAGGTGGGTTCCTCAAGTGTCGTGCCAGCAGACAATAGGTCGAACTGGTTGTAGCGAGGAGATGGAGAATATGTCCAGAGAAATCAAAGGAGAGAGAGTGCAAAAGAAAGTAAACGATAGAAAAAATGATTAGGAAAAAGGAAACGGTACGAAGAGGAAACATCGGTAGATTCATGGGAGAGGGGTGATGGGGAGAGCTTTTATTAAGGTGTGATAACATAAAATCGGACGGAAGAGGAGGCGAAAACAACATCGCAGGACGGCTTACAGGACTGAAGATAGTAGCTCTACTAGTAGGAGACGGTAACTGGTGAAGGCGTCTGTAGGGAAGCACAAGGTTGAGCCAAGTTTGCAGTGATAGTTGTGTTACAAAGTATTTGATAATGGCCGTAGTGAGTTAGTGGGCCATGCCAGCCTGGTCCACATCCCAGCCGGATGAACGCAAGCCATGCGTCGCTGCGTAGCTGTCCAATCTCTTCTTGAAGCTGTCAACAGACGAAGCACTGGCAGTCTCAGCAGACAATGCGTTCCAGTGGCCACAAACTCACAGAGAGAAGTGTGAACCCAGACGGGTTTTCGCCCCTTGGCTGGTGGTTCTCCTCAGGTTCACATCTCTTTTCAGATACGATGGTGCAGTGACGTTGTGGACCTCTAACTGAGGCCGTATATAGGTCTTGTACACCTTCAAAGAGAGTTCTAGAGTCATGGTACCTATTTGTTGCCCATGAATTGGAGTACTGCGTAGGCTCTGAAGGCTCCTCTAGGATAATTTGAGCTAGTGTCTGGCTTGTCAGTCAGTATTAGTCCTAGATATTTCTCTGCAGTGGTGTGGGAAAGTTGTGTTCCACGGGAAGAATAGGGTACTCTCTGAGGGTCAGGGGTGCGAGAAACGTGACTCGGCACTTACCCAGATTAAATACTAGTCCATTGATATCCACCCACTCTGCAAGCAATCTCAGGCCACTTTGCGTGTGCTTGATTCTGTTTCGGATGTCATAGTTCTCCATAACTTAACGTCATCAGCGCAAAGTGGGACTGGGAAGCTGAGATTCCGCTGAAGGTCGTTCACGAGAAGAAGGAGTAGCGTCGGGCCCAGAATCGCTCCTTGTGAGACATCAAATGGCGATATCCTCCAAGTCCAGCAAACTCTGCCGACTTTTGTGCAGAACTGTCTGCCACCTAAGTAGTTCTGCAGCCAGGACAGCACGTTACCCTTGATGCCCAACCTTGATATTTTGTAAGATTGTTGCGCGGACCGCGTCAAGGGCCCTAGCAAAATCCCTGGAAATGACATAGACGGAAATTTGGAGGTCCCAACATGCCGTCCGCCTATCACCGGTCGCCAGGATGTTTAAGGTGCAGGGTCTATGCTTTCTGAAACCATGTTGGGCATCACTAAATGCTCCTCTCTTTTCCAAGTACTCTATGACCTGGTCGTCTACCAGGTTCTCCATTACTTTTGACACCACTGGTAGAAGGGCCAAGGGAAGATGGCATTTCGGGTTCTGCCTATCTCCTCCCTTGAAGATGGGGGACAAAATAGTACGTTTCCAATCTCGCGGAAACATGAGATTGTCTAAGCAGTTTTAAAACAGATTACGCAGCGGATCCCACAAGGCAACCGACTGCTGTTTCAACACAGCCTGCCAGGTGCCATCGCATTCCAGTGATTTCCCCACGTGGAGCTTTGATTGCTTTTTGAGGACCATGGCAGGAGTTTCTTTTATTCCAGGCAACTCTACTGCATTTAGTGGATCTGAATGTTGGTCACGCAGTTGGCAATTTTCGTCAGATGGAGACATGTTCACTTGCGTGTCGAAAGCGGAGCTAAAGGCTCCGGCGATCCCTAGTCCGGAGGTCTCTACGTTCAGGTCTTACAGGATTCAAGTCCCTTGGCTAGTGGATTTTCTGCCTGTCATAAATCGACATAGGTTTTTGGGGTTCGACTTCAGCTTTTGGGCAAGGTTTGCCTAGAACGACCTCTTGTCTCCACTCACCTTGATGTTGCATTGATTTCTTAGGGCTGTATATGCGGTGTGGTCAGACTCTTTTCTGAAAACCCTCCACCAGTGCGATGCTTTCCTCCCGGCCTTCAAAAGGCGTTCACCGCCAAGCATAAACCATAAGGTTCGCTTCCTCGATATCGCCGTGACTACAGGCACGTTTTCAGGGGCTGACCTCTTGGTTACAACCCTAACTAGTTCCCAATGCTGAACGGTCGAAAGGTCACAAAAACTCCCTGGACTATGTTACTGCCAACAGATATTGGTTCATCGCCACGTAGCTTGCCTTGCTGTAGGAAAGACAAGGGCGAGATTCCTCCCATGACGGTTGTCCGTCGAATACCAGGCCGAACGCTGCAACGCCGTGATCGCTGCTGGTGAGGGAGGTTTGAAACTGAACGTTTTCAGTCAGCAGGTGGCTGATGGTAAAAAGGTGGTCCAGTTTGGACGGTTTTCCGCCCGACCCCCAGCGAGTGTCATCACCAATATTCTTGTGCATCCCAGCCTCACGGATAGTGTTGAGTAGGTTTCGGTAGGACCTTCTGCTTGAGTTTCCTTTAACCTGCCCAAGGTTGAGGGTTGAAACATTAAAGTCCGCGGCTATAATGACCTGGTTATATCCTATGGACGTCACTCCGGACACTACTTGCAGCAGTTGCCGGTTATTTTCCACGTTGCTAGGGGAGTTCTGTAGACGCCCTCTACCAGGCACTTGGTGTACCCAACCGTGAAGTGACGCCAGATGAGGTCTGAGTTCCCTAAAAGTAGAGTTTCAGTGGCTCGTTCACTTTTAAGATGTTCACTTGTAAACGTCACTCCGCCCTCCACCTTAAACTCCCTGTCTCTCATAAATAGACACATACCGTCTATAGCAGTTTCGATGTCACTAGTGTCTGGTGGTCACCAAGTTTCTGTCAGAATTGTGTTCTTTGGAGCAAGACAGGAACAGAGGGATCGTAGTTACCCCATCCAACTTCTAAGCCCCCTCACATTACTGTGGACCTACCTGGATATGTTTCTAAACACATGTGGTGTCTTGGTGGTGGCAAACCACCCAGTCCATTGTTGGCCAGGATACCTTCAGACTGAGGAAGGTTGTGGGAAATGGTGAAATTCACCGCAGGACGGTCAGCCCCAATGGAACTGCCCAATCACTTTTTTTCCCACAGTAGTTTCTAGGGTCTTTATAGTCTAGGCTGGTTTGGATATCTTGCCGCTGACAGTGATGGTGACCTCGCCACTAGGCGGGGCCGTCGTTTGCTGTTGTTGCAGTGTCTTGGGCCTGCTTTCACAGTGACGAACGTTCCCCCTGATGTCGACTTTCACTGCACATCAAGCTCGCAGTACTTCGATTGAAGATTCCTGACACTCGAAGTTAATAGCCATCAACCTGGGTTTATCGTCGTCGTCAAATATGAGGGACGTGGCAGTCTGCAGACCACCGCCGCCGCTAGCCCGCTTACCCCATCCTTGCTGATAACCACTGCCATTGTTGGACATCGCGAGCATACTGCTCCACTGTTGTGCCAGTTGTCAGTTCCGGTATGCCGCGGACAACCACGGTTGTTGGTTTTAGAGGGCGGGGTGCCTCAAGAGTTACTTTCCTCGCTGGCCATGGTTGGTTCGGCCTGGCCTTAATGCTGGGTGATGGCCAGTGAATGTGGCAGCAGCAACAATCGTTCCACTCCCTTAGCCGAGCTCAGAATCACCCTCATCGGGGAGCTTCCCCCGAGGTCGGTAGTCGTCTTTGTAGGGCCGACGTAGCTTTGCTTCTAAGCTGCCCAGTCCTAGTATGACACATACCGTTTCCCACTGCTGGTTGTTAAAATTTTTCTGTCCTCAAGAAGGCTGTCATGGCACACGGGGACGTTAAACAGGATGATGCAGTTCGATCTGTCATCAACGGCTCTATTGTCGTGTACTATGGGTGGCGTTCTATGGGAAGGGTGCGCTTCGGTCCACCTCGGTAGCCTCGATATGGTAATACTCAACAGGCAACACCATGATCATCCCCCCCGTGACCAGATAAAGGGTGGTTACCGTCTTAGAAAAGACCATGAATTTCACTTAAATGTTAATAACTTCAAACGCTTGTACATAGGTATATAACAAGTGAATACCTGGTCCAAAATCCTCTGATCTCTCTATCTCGTAGTGATATCCTCAGCTTCAGACTGATTTTCATTACTGTCGCGCGCACCTTCATCTTCTTCCACCTAAGCTTACCTCCAAACAGTTGGTTCTGGATACTTCTTGAAGTAAGTTTTACAGTCAGTACAAAGAACTCACCCAGGTGTATCATGGTTGATCTACTCCTGCGTATTTTTGTGCTCCTGTTTTGAATTTCGCCTGCTGCTCGCTTTTGTTATTCACTTTTCAGGTTTACCTGACCAGACTTGCATCCAAGTGGAATCCTACAAATCTCATTTGCCAGTGGGAAGTATTGCCATCAAAACGTTACGACGAACGCGCACACCTCAGGGTCATGACTCTGGTGCAGCCTCACCTTCAAGAATATTGGATGATTCAAACGATAACCGGATGGTCTTCAAATTCGAACTGAGCCTGCTTCAACACACCTCTTAAATGCCATAAATAACAGTATCTAATGTATAGCTTAACATTGTACATAATAGTCATTTCTCATTACCAAAATGATCAAACCTGTAAACTGGTTTGTATTCATGTA